GCCATGGGCTCGGGGCGCGTGCCCGGGCTCTGCCTGCTCGTCCTGCTGGTCCACGCCCGCGCCGCCCAGCACAGCAAAGCCGCGCAAGGTAAGGAAGGAGGGGCGCACGGCGGCGGGGACTGCGGGGGCCCGAGGGCGGGGGGGGGCGCGATTTCCGAGGGGCAGGGCAGGTGCTGGGAAGCGTGTCGCTGTCAGAACCCAGCACCGTGCACCCGCACTCCGGCCGGGGGACCTGACCTCACTCTGGGCGCTGCGTCCCGGGCAAAAGGCTGGAGGAGCCAGGAGCAACACGGAGGAGTGAGAAGTTTGGGGGGCCCTAGGCAGAAGTCGCCACGCACCTCAGAATTCTGCCCGACTTCGTTGCCACCCCAGCATCTTCGAAAGACTTCTTGTCCTCCAAAAGTACGAGAGAGGATCTTCTCTTCTCTCAGACATTGCCAGAAACTTAAGCTGTGGCCTGGAGAGACGGAGAGAATGAAACTTTTCAGCCACGCCATGTATTTCTTCCCCTCACCCCCAACCCTCATGCAAAGTCAGACAAAATTTCCAAGTTGTTGTCTTATCAGTAGAAAAATGTTAAAGAAAAATAGGATCTTTTCTGGAAAGACCAGCTCGTCTCTCACTGGATGGTAGGGGGCTGAAGAAGAGAAGAAAATTTCTGACTGGCTCCCAGCAAGAATGTCGCCTTCTGCCTCTTTGGGGGGAAATCTCTTTCGTCTTGCATGGCTTTCATTTCTTATCATAATATTTATTTATTAAGGCCTCGGGTTTCCAATTCCATTTAAATCCAGGTCAGAATTGCATTAAAATAACAAAGTAAAATTCCAGGCTGGGGAGCTCTGACAGATCCCTCTAGGAATTAAAGGGAGAGAGACAGGGAGGCCCTCCGGCCCCCATCCCTGACCCCAGGCTCATTGCTTGGCCAGTCCCAAGGCTTTGCTGGCAGAAACCAGGCTGGTGGGCTACAGTTCTCTTGGGGACAGCCTCCCCTCCCCCTTGACCTCTTGCTGCACCCTTCCCCCCATCATGTCCTCACCCAGGAAGAGATTTATATGGACAAAAAGAAAATTCCTCCTAGCAAGGCTTTGCCGAGGAGGATATGATTCTGCCTATTGTCCCAGGGGCTCCTGAAGCCAAGCTGGGGTGTGGAAGTGGCTGAGCCAGAAGGGAAAGTTGAACTTGGGAGTTGGGGAAGCCTGAGTCTCTGGCAGTCAGGTCGCCGTGTCCTGGAGCCTGAGCGCCTGGCTCTTAAGCTGCTTTTGTGTGCTGGATGGGCTCCCACTCTGGTAAAAGGGAGATGCTATATCAACGCCAGTCTCTTCCCCCGAAGGCTGCCTCTTCAACTACCTCCTTCCTCCTCCAACCTGTCCTTTAGCAGAGCCCAAGTACTGGAGGTCCGCAGCTGTCACATACCAGACCCCACCCCCACCCCCTTCCAACCCCAAACTGCCTCTTCTCCAGTCCTGGCTCCAGACAGCCCACTACCACTGCCACCCCCAGCCTGGGAGCAGCCCCTCTCCCACTGTGGATTTGCTTGTGTTTTCATAAACAAAGCTGGCTTTTGTAGTGTGTGCTGACTTACTCATAACATGGCATTAGCTAGGGAGTTTAGTCTGAAGGAAGGAACAGATTTCATTCAGGAATCTAGAGACAAGATAAGGGCCTCTTTCAAGTTGGAGCCAGTGTCTGTAGTGGCCTAGTGAGACTGGGGGGCTGGGGGCAAAAGGGGGAGCAAACAGTATATTCAGGGGATTCCCAGGGCTGGTGGAGACTCCTAGAAGGGACAGGTGCCAGCGGGGGATCAGCTCATCCTTCAGGGATGGAAGGATTCAAAATCCCTCCAAGGTGTTCTGGGGCTCCCTCTTTCATCAGACACCCTGCTGGGTGCTGTTGGGGGAGTGCAGCTAGACTGGAGGCCCCCTGCCCTCAAGGAACTTACATCCTCATAGTTTTGTTCACTACTTATATTCAGGCCACTGTCACTCGCTCTGACTGGGCCGCAGTTAGCTGTGCTTCTTCCTTCCTTCTGATCCCTGAGTCTAGCCTGGCATGGACTCGAAGCCTGTCATTTCGGCTACCTTTGACGCTGCTGTTCAGGAACTGTATCAACCTGGTCTGCCAGAGATTGCCTAACGACAGGTCTGTTGGGCTAGAGGGATGTCTCTGGACCCAAATCTGCAGGCCAATGCCCTGGGAAGGACAAGCACTGAACCGGGCAGGGCAGCCTTACCCCTAGATGGAGTGCTGTGGCCATCCCTCGCTCCCAGACATATCTCCTGGGTATCACCAGGGCCAGCAGGTGTGTCTTCAATGCCATGTGCTTATAATCGAAGCTCTAGTGGGTCTCTTTAAACTGCAAAGACTCTTGGCAAATATCTTGCGCAGTTACTATACCTCTGGGTATAGCGGGTGCGTGTGTGTGTGTATAGTACAGTTACCATACTTCAGTGCCTTTTCTCCAGAAATTCCATCCCCCCCCCTCCCCCGGCCCAAGAACCAAAGTGGAAAGGGATAGGGAGGTGGGGAAGGACAAGGAAGGGAGCCCTGAGTGTGCAGGTGAGTGTGTGTGTGTGTGAGAGAGAGAAAGAAAAAGAGAGAGGTTCCCCGCCATCACCCACAGGTGATATAGCTGGGTGTCTGTGTCTCTTGTGACTCGGTTATTAAGCCTGGATACGAACATTTTCGTGTCTTTGAGAACTGTGTGTGGATGAGTGCGTGGGTAAGCTCGTGTGACTGGGAGTGAGTGAGCATGAGGGTACGTGGTTTTGAGTGTTTTTCAAGTGCCTGACTGTGTATTTTAAAGTAGACAGACTGGATAACCAAGATAATTGTTAACTTAAAAGCATTAATTTGCTTTGCTTTTTTTGGGGGGGGTGTGCAGCAGTGGTTAAAAAGACCTAATCCTTGCTTAGGGTTCAGGTTACAGCTGAATTGGTCTCCTGGCCTCCCGGGGAAAACTTGTCCCCAGGGCGGGCTCAGGGAGAGTCAGCCTGGCTGTTTAGTTTACCTGGTTGTTTTCTCTTCTCATTAGGGATAAAATGTTGATAAAGTCGTGTATTTAGAGTTTCCAAGTAACACCATCCCTGGGACTGAGAGCGTTCATCTGGTGGCAAACAGTGTCTCTCTGTCTCCGCGCGTCTCTCCGGGTCTCTGTCTGGGTGTATGTGTGTCTCTCTCTTTCTTTCCCCCACCCCTCTTCCTCTTTAATGTGGCTATTTCCTCTCCTCCCCGCTTCCCTGGGCTCCTGTGGCCAGCTCTTACAGTGAGGGGACTGTTCCTCCTAGCCCCTCCCTCCAAAATATGAAATGAAAACCATAACCATGTCAGCGGGTGAGGGTGGCCCCGTGGGCAGCCGGCTATTGCCCATGCCCCATCCAGGCCACACTGGAGAGAGAGAGAGAGTCAGTCCCCACTCTTGGAGCCTGATCTTCAATCAGTTGCTTCTAAGCCTGTCTCCACACACCCCCCTCCCTCCATTTTTCCAGAAGGGTGGAGAAGGGGGATGGACAGCTTAGAAATTCCTCAGGAATCCCTTTGACCTCTCTTCTCTCAGTGACATGTCCCCTGGGGAGGTGGGGAAAGCCTGGGGCCGGGGGAGCACTTCTCCACTTCTTACCCCTCATCTCCTTGAGTCTCTACAGAGTGGAATGTGAGAGAGGGGAGCGGAAGACACCGAGGCCAGAATTACCACAGGCAGAGAAAGAAGAAAGTTATCAGCCACCCCTAAATGAGATTGTTTTCTGAAACCTTCAGGAATCTGAGAGCATGAGAACCGGTTTGAGATGTGAGCGGCCGGGACCTGTTGTAAAAGGAGCCTGCCCTGGGTGTGAGTTTGGGAATGCGAGGTGTGCATTCACTGGGGCGTGCGAGCGTGCGTGTGCATGATTCAGGGTGTGTGTGTGTGTGTGTGTGTATCCCCCTGTGCATGCGTGCACAGTGCTCCGGTGAGAGGAAAAGGGAAGCGGGGCAATGTGCGTTTTGTTTTCATTGGAGAAGTCAAGAAGTGGAATGGCTTGGTCCAGTGCCTTGGATTGAGGGTGGGGGAAGGGAACGGGTAGTTTCAGACCCTCTCGTGAAGATGGAGCTGGAGGAGCTTGCTGCCTGAACTCCCCCCAGTCCCTGCCCCAGCTCTGGTCCCCGCGTGTCAGGGTGTGGGCCTCCCTTGACGTCCCGTACCCCTAGCACATGACCACTTCTAAGAAAGAGTCCCTGTCAGGGCTGGAAACTGCAGAGCTGCTCGGAGGCTGGCAGTGCCCGCAAGAGGCCCAGGCCTGGGGACAGCTTCTTCAGGCTCAGTTATAAGACAGCAGTCTGGAAACAGAGGGACGCCTGGGCCTTGACGGGGAGAAGGGATACGACGGCTAACTCAGGGATGTCTGAGGGGTAGAGGAGACAGGCACCTGGGCGAAGAGGGGACACAGGCCCTCCCCCCCCATTGGCCCCTCTGTCACCAGACTGGCCACTTTCCTCCCATGCCCCCATACTGCCAGCTCCAAATGGCATGTGGTGGGGTGGTTGGTGCCAGTGGGTTGGTAGACGCGGAGCCTGAGTTTTGGGGCCTTTGAGGAAATCATTGAAATTCCCTTCCTCACTCGTAAAATGGACTAGAGTATCAGGAGGGTCCCTCTCAGCTCTGAGATTCTGCACATCTCAACTAAATCCTTCCTGCTGGAAGGCAGAAAACACTATAGCAAGCCTTGGTCCTGCCCCCAGGCCTCTTTGGGCCTTCCCGCCTAACACTCAGGCCCTCTTCTTCCTGGGCCCTCCTCTACTACTCCCTGCCCAGAGTCTGTCACTTGGCTACTCCTCCTTTCTTCCCCCACCCCAGTTTCCTGGGGCCCCAAGTACCCGATTGTTCTGCATCCTTAAGTAGAGTCTTTCCCCCTGGAAAGAGCCCCTACAAAACAAGTGTGTGTTTCTGTGCATGCATGTGTGTGTGAATGTGTGTGTATCCAGCAACTTTGGGTAAGGAAGCTGCGATGGTTGTGTTCTAGGAACTGAATACTATCTGGGCAGGGACCCGAGGCCCCAGTCCCTGGTCCTACATGGTATATTCTCAGCTCCAAGACTGGCCCTCTGTATTCTGCT